TATCCTCCTCCTCTTCTGCTCTTCCTCCTCCTGCTCCCCCTCCTCTTCCTTCTTCTTCTTCTTCTTCTTCTTCTTCTTCTTCTTCTTGCAAATAATACTACTTCATCCTTCCAGAAAAAAAAAAGATAAGGGATGTTAGACTTACCCATTATCATGCTACTGCAAAAGATAACTGCAGCTGTGATAAATACAATCACCGATACCCGCCCCCATCGCTTGACGACCTTTGAGAGTGCAGCATTTCCGATCCAGGCAGCAAATGCACATAGAATTGCGAAGTACACACCTGTAATAGAAAAAATGTGGGGAGAAAACCAAACAGGACAGCACAGGACAGCACAGGAAAGGACACACACAAAATAGTGCTCGGCCGTTAGCCCAATGGTGCATGCACACTGTCTGGATGTCAGTCCAATACTAAAATACCTGGCTATTAGCCCAATGGCTATTAGCCCAACAGCCATTGGGCATGACTACTGGTACACGAAGTCTGGTGGTTAGGCCAGTGGTAGAGAGCGACTAGCCATTAGCCCAATCTTACACTGTCTGGCCGCTAGTCCAATCGTACACTGGCTGGCCATTAGCCCTATGGTATGCTGTCTGGCCATTCGTGCACCAGTACATTGTCTGGCTCAGACTGGCTGTTATTCCACCGGTACACTGTCCACCGTGACCAATTGTACATTGTCTGGCTGTTTGCCCAATGGCTCCCTGTCTGGCCGTTTGCCCAAATGCCCAAGAGTGTGCCTGGTAGTTGGCCCAATGGTAAATTGTCCAGCTGTTAACCCAACGGTAATTTAATTGTCTAGCCGTTAACCCAACGGTAATTTAATTGTCTAGTCGTTAGCGCAGTGGTAGACTGTCTGGTGGTTAGCAGAATGGTACACTATCTGGCCATTAGCCCAATAACAGCAAATTGTGGCCCATTTCGTTAAAAAAAATGGACATTTTATGTCCTTCCAACGAAATTGGAACCTACTTATTTGGTCCTCAAATTTTAACTTTTTAGCTCTTGAGGGACCGGCGTTATGAAATGCCAGAACCCCTTGGATGTATCTGGACTCTGGACTTAGCTCCAGATACATCCAAGGGGGTCTCAGGGGCTGAAAAGATGAATTTTTAAGGGCCAAGTAAAAAAAGAAGTATGCGGCACTCTCGCTGATCACCACCAGCACCAGCATCGGTGTCATCATCATTAGAGTGCTGCTCATCACCATCATCATCAACAGGGCGTGATTTGACAGCCTCATCACAGTAATGGTTTGTCATCATCAGGGCGCTGCTCGTCATCACCATCATCAGCATCAGGGCACTGCTCGTCATCATCATCAAGGCGTATGTCTTCACTCCTGTTCGGCGCTAATATTATCACTATTATCAAGGAGCCGTGCATCAGGGGCGCTGCTCGCCACTCATTGTTGTATCTCCATCGTCAAATCTCTCTCCATCATACAGCACAGTTGGCAAAGCTTGACGTCATCATAGGATGTTGCTCATCATCATCATCATCATCATCATCATCATCATCATCACCATCATCATCATCATCATCATCATCATCTTTAGGTTATCATCTAAGGTTCTCGTCTTCACACCCTCATCATCTTGTAGTCATCATAGGGCGCTGTGCGTCATCATCTTCATCATCATCATCATCATCATCATCATCATCATCATCATCATCATCATCATTGCGGACATCACCATCAACATCATCATTATTATGATCATCATCATCAGTGCGTCATCAATATCATCAACATCATCATCATCTTCATCATCATCATCATCATTATCGACATCACCATCATCATCGCTATCATCATTATCATCATCATCATCATCATCATCATCATCATTAGTTTGTAATCATAGGGGCTGTTGGTGCTGCTCTTTGGTATGATCATCATCATCATTCCGTTTCCATTCTCATCATTATCATGATCATCATCATCTTGTTTAAGTTCATTAGATGTTGCTCTGCATCAGCAGGTGAGTTGGTTGTCACCATCATTCTCATTATCATCATCTTCAGGGTGCTGTCCATCGTCATCAACAAAATCCAACAAAATCCAACAAAATCCAAGCAAATGATATTTTGGTAAGTGTGTCATCAATAACTGTAGTCGGCTGGATCGGATTGTCCCCAGAGGGCTGAACGGTGGGAAGGGGGTGGGGGGAGCTCTATCCTGTAGGGGCATCACAAGGTGGGGGGTGAATGTCTCAAAGAGGGTAGGGGCGGAGTAGGGGGTTGCCTTATTCTGGGGCAAGGACTGTGTGTGGGTCAACA